GGTTCATTTAACTCTGTCTCAGTTACACAGATCAGGTTCGTCCACATAGAGACAACAAGTGATCGTCTCTTTTCTCAGAGCAGACAAATGGAGGTTACTTCAAGGAGAAAGAAACCCTTAAAATGAACTGATAGTAACTAGAAGATGCAGTGCTTCTAATACTGTTTGTGTGTTTGTGGAAAAGTGTGAGCAGCACGCCAAGCTATGAAGTGCAGTTTAGCGAACAGCGGGGGCTAAAAGTAGATACGGAAACGCACATTGTTCTGCCCGGCTGCTCTACAAAGAGAGGAACACTTGATGAGCTGCTAAAAGAAGAAGGGCATGGGATTATGTTTTAGGAATGGAGCTGGAAAGAATGAAAAAAGGGAGCCAGGAGGGAGCCAAGAAGCTTAAAATTGGTAAAAAACGGGCAGGGAGGTTGAGGATGTAGGAGAGAAAAAAATTACTTCAAAGTTGGGTATTATTAAGACTTCCAAACTCATCAACTTTTCATTTAGGATTTGCCTGAATTCGTTCTTACATAAGATGAGTTTAGAAATAGGCAATAAGATTTATGCCTCTCATAACATACCTACTACCACAGCTAGGTATCTCCAGCTGACCAGAAAGTACCCCACAATATGTTGATGTTGATATGATGGCAGAGGTCACGGGCTCGGGGGCAGAATTGAGCAAGGGGGAACTTCAGTTTCTCCATGATGTCACAGCATCTGTTACATGCCAGACATGCCACCCTGGAACCCGCTGTTTGTCTGTAAGCCAAAGGCAACAACCTCACAGACACACACACATGCAACACACAAGCAAGCAAGGAGCACGCAAATGTGCACGCTCTCTGTCAAATGATTCAGCTAATTCACATGACAGGAGGATCAGGAGTCAAATGATTAAAAGCTTGTTTGTGGAGGCTGACGCTGTTGACAGCCTGGGCTGTTGTCCAACACCTTTCCAGTAGCTTCTTCCCCTAAAGAGACCAAGAGCCAAGAATGCTGTTATATGTTTGTCTGATCAAGCTTCACTTGAGAGTAATGACCAGGTGGAACAGCTCCAGATTTTGTTCTAGACAGCATTTATTGTTAGGCGTGCAAGTGCCTTTGTAAGAATGCAGCATAACAAACATTAAGTAATGAGGCAACGGAACACAGAGTCTCAGCAGCTGACGGGATGAAATTTATGTTGTGTTTCTGTGTTTCTGTCTCTTTCTCTGCTCCAGCTCCTGGAGCTTATCGCCAAGTCCCAGCTCCCCTCGCTCAGCGGAGTGGCGCAGAAAAACTACATGAATATTCTGGAGAGAGTGGTACAGAAAGGTGAGCCCCATCGCTCTTTTAAAGTCACTCAACTAGCTTGCCTCTCAGTTTCTCTCCTTTTGTGTCCAATGGTTTCATCTTTCTGCTGTGGTCTAAACACACACACACACACACATATACCTCTTAAAATACCCACAGTTTGCCCGTCAGTCCGTTTACTGTTTGATCAAATATACAGACAAGCAGAATCCTTATCTTTATTTAAGATGTAAACACATAATTCGAGTAGAGCAAAGATTAAGCCTTCCTGTGCTGTTTGCACCAGTAGGTGAGGAAATGAGCCCTGACCACATCTAAAGAAGGCCAGGGAGTGAATTTAGTGCTTTAATGGCACAGTGAAAAACACTGACAGTCACCAGACTACTCTGCAAGCCACAGTATAAACTAAATGTTCCCTCTGCTAAACAGAGATTCAGGTTGTTTAGGTGGAGTTATGAAACCTGCTGGCCAAATATTATGAGTGTCGCAGGAGGAGAGTACAGCCACTCCAAAACATTTGGTTTAATAATGTGCTTTTTGATGATTCACAATAAATATTTCACTGTTTGGCTGTTTGCCTGGTAATCTCTCTGTAACAGCCAGGCTTTAAAACGCGTTTAGGTCATGATTGGAGCATTAAATTGAATCCAATTAATAACTGCTGATTTCCTCCACAGTTCTTGATGACCAGCAGAACGTCCGTCCCATCAAGGAGCTACTGCAGACGCTCTACATCTCACTGTGTGGTCTTGTTCAGGACATGGGCAAGTCTGTCCTGGTGGGGAACATCAACACCTGGGTGCACCGCATGGAGAACATTATGCAGTGGCAGCAGCAGCTGGACAACATCCAGATCAACAGGGTAAGCATCTGGCTAAACTGTGGGATGAAACATTAGGGACATGAATGCAAATTTCCATTATATTCATGACTTTTTCTGCCTCCTGTTTTTTTCAGCCCACATCTACAGGCATGACTCTGACTGACCTGCCTGTCAGTCTGCAGTTGAACATCATGCAGCGTCTGTCAGACGGCAGGGACCTGGTCAGCCTGGGCCAGGTGTGCCCTGAGCTGGGGGCTCTCACTGAGGACCGACTGCTGTGGAAGAGACTTTGCCAGTACCACTTCACAGACAGACAGGCATGTAGAAACAAATGGTAGTAATTAGTAAAACCTCCATAGTTAGTAGTAGTAGTAGTTACTTTGTGTGTAGTACTGAATTGGTGTGCAAAAGAAAACATTAAAATAGATATTCCAAAGTATTTTTCTCTCTCTGGGTCGTGTCTTTAAAGTCTGTGTTCTTCTTCTCCAGATCCGAAAGCGCCTGATGGTGTCAGATAAAGGTCAACTGGAGTGGAAGAAGATGTACTTTAAGCTGAGCCGCTGCTATCCTCGCAGGGAGCAATACAGTGACACCTTGCATTTCTGCTCACACTGCCACATCCTTTTCTGGAAGGTAGTGTTTTTCTCTCTCTTCACTTTGCTCTTGATCATAGTGGATATAAAACTAAAATGTTGCTGGTAGTAAAGCTGCACATAGAATAGCAAATTAATATTGATCACTGTGTGTCTTTGTTTTGTTTTTTTCACAGGACACAGACCATCCCTGCACAGCCAACAACCCAGAAAGTTGCACCATGTCCCTCTCCCCTCAAGACTTTATCAACCTTTTCAACTTCTGAGCTGCCCCCCTCCCCCTCCCCAAGAAAAAAATCCATATGAACTGACTGTAAATACTGTACATAGATACAATATTGTTTTTGTTTAATAGCACAATCGATTCCTGGATGTGTATTTAGTTTAGGTGGGACTGGAGGGGGCTCAGGCAGTGGGACAATTATGCAATTGAGTTTCTTTTCAAAGAGTACAGAGGCTTCTGTTGAAAGTGAGTGAATGTGACTGAGAGGAAAAAGAGATGTAGGTGCAATTTGCCTGTGGGTGCAGGAAGGAACACTTAGGGAAAGGGAACACTTAGTAGTCAGAGTTTGGTCTTAGCGTGTTTGTGAAATGACACCTCCAAAGTAAACCTGACCTTAGTGTACACTTGTTTTTTTCCCAATTTGGAGAATTTGGGTTTTGTTTCTTTTAACATAGGAAGTAGGAAGGTTATTCCAACCCGTTTATTTAATGTTTAAAATTGTGATTTGTTTAATATGTTGCCTGCTCACATGGTGGGGGGGGGGTGCAATGTGTTCAGACGAAGTCTAGTAATATTGGGTTTGGCAATGAGACGGAGAGAAGTAAATCTTGAGTTGCTGCAGTACCTAAGAGATGGTGAATGTATGCAAGGGAGTCAGTTATTGATCATTAGACTGTGTGATGATTCTTTGATATGTTGAGACACCATAGTATGTTTTCTATTTTTCTTTGTTGTTTTTCACTTTTATAAAGATTTGATATGACTTTTTTTTTTTTTTATTCATTTATTGTGTGCTTATTGTCTGCTGTGGCTGTAGCACAGCACCTGAGTGCAGTATTACCAAAGATATCAAAGTCTGTGTAATAATGGTGTGTGCCTTTATCATGAAACTTGAAACCGGTACAGCTTAATCTATATTTGCAATGTTTTCAGGTCCTAATGCTGTTTTTATTCTCATCAACAAATGTCTCATATACAGAAGAGTGATATTCAAGATCTGAGGCTTTGATACCAAAGCTGACTGGTTAGTTGAAATCACATTTTTCCGTAGCCTCCTGCATGATTTTTTTTAAACACCCCGCTGATTGAGTTTACTTATTTATTGAGATTCTTGCAAGTGGCTCAGCTTGCACTGTTGGATTTAAAGGAATGGAAATATTGGTATAAAGGTGCAATTTGACCCAAACTTGCCACTGCTCAGACAGTGAGGGATGATGTACATGCTATGCAATGCGTTCTGTTTATGTTCTTTTGAATAAATAAAAGAAAATAACCTTACCTCTGTCATTAGTTATATGTAGTCCTCACACCTCAATGCAGTGGTTCTCAAACTGAAGGTGGGACGCAGATGACCAGGGGAAGATATTGAGTGGAAACTGAATATACATTATTTATGAAAGGATGTTTCACTAAAATTTAACTTGGATCCTTTTATTAGTTTTGGTTCCCCTATCACTGTTAATGATTGCCAAAAGTTGTGCGGGATGTGGTGTGAATTTGTGGGAAGGCATGCCAGAAAAAGTTTGAGAACCCCTACCCTTATGTGACTTTTCTTTGCACACACTGAAGCATTATGTAGGACAACTGTTAGAAATGTTCTTCACATGGTTAAAATGCACACTGCCTTTTTCCTAGAGGTGAACAGCAGCTGCTCTGTAGGTTTGGCTGCTCTCTATTGGACAAATGATGAACTGCAAGTCCAAACAAAATCAATCTTGGTACAAGTACTGTCAGTAATCAGGACTCCTTACAACAAATTATCAATAAGAATTGATGTTTTGTCCATTACGGTTTCTTACTGAAATAGAACTGAAGCAGTGCTTAAACAATGAAACAAAGTTGAGGGACTCTATTAAATAACAAAACCAATGACATTCAAAGAACCTCACACACACTCATATGGTGGCAAGGGAAACACTAACTACTTTAAAATACAAGCGGACCTATCCAGTGTCATTATACCAAAGTGAACTCTAGGACATTGGTCTTAATTAGACAGGCCTGCTGTATAAAAACACCAACAAACAATTAGCTCAGTTTGATCAACAAACACTGTGCTCACAAATTTTAAAATGTAATTTTCTCAAACAATTGTTTTAATTGTTGCAATAGGTCAACAGTTGAAGTTAAAATTAAAAAAGCAAATGCAGCTAATTTTTCCATGACACTAATAACAATATAAACAATGTAATAATTCACTGCTGGTTACACTGTTTTTAAATAAATAATATTTATACAAATATTATGTAAATATTATTCATTTTACCAAGAAATATGATTTAGCACAAAAAGAATTATTGTGCACATCTCTCACTGCAGCATTGTACATACAGTACTGCCCTGCTCCTCAGGGTGTATAGGTAGCTTTTACGGAGTAGTTCAACATTTGAGAAGCATGATGTGTGTAACTGGCAAAGGCATGAATGTGTATTTTGCTGTCAAAGCTATAATACACAGGCATCATTTGAAGCCCATATAAATGGATAATTCTGCCCACAAAGAGAGTCAGCACATCGTTTAACTACACTGATCAAAAAAACTGGATATGTCTCTGCTGGTTTAAGGCAATATTGTCTGTCAGATGCCAGTGTATTGTTGCTGTGACAGCAGAAAAAAAAGGCAATGTAATGGTACATTCCCATCTTTTTGTTCTGAGATAAACAATATATTTTCTTTGAATTCTTATCTCTTTAAAGCTAAAATGAGCAATTTTAATAATAATAATAATAATAATATTTTTTTTATCTATAGAGCAGTTTTCAAGAACTCAAAGACCCAAAGATAAGTTAATTCTATAGCTAGCAACCTGGCTAGCTAGCTTTTTTTTAAATACCTCCTCCCTCCCCATTTTTTTACTACTATCATGCAAACTTTTCATCTACAGTTTGTGCCTCTTGAAACACATAATAAGCAGCACCAGGAACAACTTTCTGATTTGAACTCCTGCTATAGGAGTCACCAGTGTTTTACGTTACAGAAGACATACATCAGTTCAAATAAAAGTTACAAAGTTGGTTGCATATTGTCACTGTACCATACATTGTTTTCTAAAAATTGTGCACGTGTACCTCTTGCATCCATCATCTGCATCTCTTCTGATAAGACATGATATGAGAGCAAAGAATATGTGGGGTAGAAATGTTATATTCAGACCAGGGGGCAAAGTCTGGTGGGCTCAGGATGTTGATGCAACCCGCTGAATGTTAAACCTTCTGTTTATTCAGCTCTAGAGCTTGTTTAACCCATGGAAGGAATCTAGCCTGTTCTCCTCACTTACCTTAATTAGAATTGTTGTTAATGGGTTTTGAGTACTTCGCATTAAGCAACATCTACCAGACGTGGACCTACAACCCTTAAATCCATATCAAACACTTTTTTGATAACCATTCAGCTTTGGCACCATTTCACTGTCTGTCTGAGCTTCCAGTGCATGTACTCCACAGGTGAGAGAGGCGGTGTGGGGTGATAACCCAAAACCTCCCAGACAGTATGAGTACCATCAGCAGAGGATCCGGAGAGAATCCCCAGTGGTTTATGAGGTGTAGACAGAGAACGTAGTCAGCAGTCCTGTGTATGCAAACAAATGAGCACTGAGCCTTATGTGACACGCACAAAAACAAGACTTTTTGTAGTTTTAAGAAAGAGAAAAAGAGTGGCATGCTTGTGTGAAGGACAAAGTTGCAAAGGGGAAGTAAAGAGAAGAGTTACCAGAGTTAGTAAAGGTCACAGAGAGGTACGTTCTCTCTTTCAGAGTTCTGAATAATCCACTCAATAGCATCCCAGCCCTACAGATTTACACAGAGAAACAGAAGATTAAAGAAGAGACCAAGGCCATACACAGAGACAGACAGGTGAACACCACCGGAAATAGTAATATTGACTTAATCTCCGGGAAACTCTCTCTGCAACAGCAGAGAAACAAACAGAGACAGTAAAGTCAGAATTAGAAGGCATGCAAAGAAATCATCAGCAACACCTTTATTACTTCCAACAAGTTCCAACTACATGCAAAAGATGAAATACGTGCATAAATATACATGTGCTGTTTTTATTTTGTGTTACCTTCCTGGCGTTAGCTGACATTCTCCTAGCCATCATGCCCTCCAGGTAACTGCTTAGACTCACTCCCTTGACTGTGATGATGGCCTCTTGGGTCAGGACAGTACTGAGGGGGGAGAGAGAGAGAGAGAGAGAGAGTGTGATTAAACTGTGTTCAGCAATTGATTTCTTATGGTTCATATCGCTCTGTGAACAACACACAAACACTGAACCCAGAAATGTTTTGAGAGATGAAATGCAAAGCTGAATAAACTGTTCAATGTACTTACACTTCAGGGTTGTCTGGGTGTGGTCTGTAAAGAAGCCTCTCATCCACTGAAATCAGGTTGGTGAGAGTAATCTGGAAGATAAAATACATTTGGATTTCCTTATTTATGGGATGCACTGAATGTTAAGACAGTGCACACTATTGATTTGGAAATAGCAATTGACATTACAATGTACCATAGTATATCCTCTGAGTTATTTTTTGTTATTTAGGAAAAAGTAGCACTAGTGCATTATGATTCAATTTCAGCATGCCCGACAGCAGTGGTAGATTTTACTCCTGCTGTGGCTCACTATCTAACTGAACTGTATAACTAATGCTGACTGAAGTCATGGCAGGCAGATGGACTTGTAAACTTACATTTGTTGAGCACAGCTCCATTTTTTTCTCCTCTGGGTCGACTATGGAATGTTCCTTCACATACGTCTGCGTATGGCTGGTTCCCAGTATCTACGGACACAGTAATACACAGGAAGTACAGTATAATGAGCCCGAATATCACCTGACATGTGCATGACACAACTGTCACCAGACCCACTTATGCACTGATTGTACTCACTTCAGCTGAATAGAAACATTTTTATGAACGCCCAGCTCATCTTTCCCATGAATACATGTACCTGTATGTCACTGACCATGTATGCCTTTATATTTCTATAGATTCCACAGTGTGTGTGTGTGTGTGTGTGTGTGTGTGTGTGTGTGTGTATGTATTGATGACTGACCGCTCGCACAATGCTCGGGAGGCCCCACTCTGTGCTGAGGAGTCTGTGGCTGTGCAGGCGCCCCTCTTCATCCAGACTGCGGTCCAGCACATCCACTCCGACCACGTTGGGATTCATGGGGTTTGGGTACTTCCTCATGGCAGCCTTGATCACCGTCTCCCATGGGTAACTGCAAACAGAACAGTACATGAAGGGGAAGAGACATATTCAATTTCACTATCGGCTAAAACATGCAGCAAATTTGATCAACTGTACAGAAAAAAGTAGTATAGAAATGTGTTTCATGATCTCCTTATTAAGTCAAGTGCACAGTGTTATTGAAGTCGGTGCTTAATTAAGCAAAACTACTTCTGTAGGACAAAACTGTGCCTGTGGAGGATTTGGTTGTGGCTGACTCCTGGTTTTAGATGCTCATAGTAACCCACCATGAGAACAGGTGGAATTTACTAACCAGAAGCATAAAGCCACAAGCTTCAGAGTATAATTCAATTCCGATGTAATTAAACCCAGTTAATGGAGTTGAAGGTCCCATCAACCTAACCCTGCAATGACAGACCGGCTCATTCTGCTTAATGAATACTCCAAACAATAAAGCACAGTGTGTCCAACCTGAAAACATGTTCCGTGCTCCAAATCTTCATTTTTCAAAAGAAAGTCTTGACCTTGTCGTTGAAAAACCCTCCGTGATCCGTAGTGTTTCACCGGACCATTTTCATATGAGGAACTAGCTCCAGATACCAGAGAATAAGGCCTTTGATGGGAGCTCACGACCATTAATGAAGTGAGTCCAGAGAGCGCATCTCCGCTTTTCTTCGCATATCAACCCTGCGTAAAGACCGCACAATATGCGCTGCCGGGCCGCGTGTCTCAACAACAGGCAGAAAACATGTAATTTGTAGATAACAACAAATAGCTCGTACAGTAGAGGACAAGAGAGAAGCCGGTGCAACGCCGAGTGTCGAGCCAGACGGAGTGAGATACAGGGTCCTGGTCAGGAATTTCAAAATAAAACCATTAACCTGATAGTAGCTTTTCTTTAACCGACCTCATCCCGAGTCTTTGAAATATTTGATGGATATAGAGAGCCCCTAAGATTTTAAGAAACATATTACAGAATAAGGCAATTATAAAGGAGTTTATAGGTGGCTTTTTCTGTGTGAAACAAAATTGTATAGTTTAAGCCACACTTAAAAATAACTTTAATAGCTACTACACGCTCTCCTAATAAACAACCTCTTAAATTCACTGTCAGTTTGCTGCTTAACTCCTTCAATAATTGTATCTAATTAGCCGCTTTTAATATGCACCATGATGCAGCTGACTATGTCCTAGTTTATCTATTTTCCAGCGATACTGACCGACTTTTTACCATTTTTGTCCAATTAGGCGACACAATTTTATTTTGAAGGTGAGACCGCTGTCTTGCTCTTGTTGTGCTTTGCCGACTTGATGAAGCTGATGTAGCGCTGCTGTTGCTGCATCCGCCTCCATTTGTACGCATGCGCATAGCATCTTCCCATCATCCCAGTCAAGTGTCGCCAAAGGAGCGGAGCCGCATCAAGCTCCACACAGACAGCGAGAAGCAGACCGGAAATACAGTGAGACTGTTTTCAGATGAAAAGATTTGGTTTAGAGACTCAAAGAATAAAAACTGGAACGTGCGCTCAGACGGCAGCAATACACACAAGATGATTTAATTCATTTTAAACAATCAATTATTATTGACAAAACCCATGCATTGACATTTGAAAAGATTTTCGTAATAATTATAAAACTACTCCTACTACTACTAATAATAAGAAGAAGATTATTATTTTTATTATTATTATTATTATTATTATTATTATTATTATTATTATATCGCTTTGTACTTTTATACTTTTTTATTATAATTATTTAATAGATTTTTTTGAAAGGCAAAAAAACAACAACATGTATTTTGTATTCTTTCACATTTTCTGCTGCGAAACGTGCATTATTATTTTGAAAGTGTGACCGGAATTGTGAGGTGTATTCTCCCTGCCTTGCCGCTGGGGTTGTGGGGGATCAGAGGAGGAATTCACTGAAGCAGACGCGCAGTGCAGGCTAGTGTGGTCCCTTAACGACAAATTGATGCCATCGCCGTTTATTGAGCGGCTCGTTCATTTCACTCTGGATCCGGAACCATTAATCCACTCATAGAGAACAAGCTCAGTCGATTACCAGCCGGGATAACGCACACTGCATGACCTTGCATTGAATGTCATTATAGAGGGATTTTTTTTTTAAAGCACCGACACGGTAAGGTAATAAGCATCCTCATTCGCACGGAGTGGAAGGCGAGACCGATGGCGATATTACGGGCTGCTGTATGTGGCCTGTGCGCAGTCTTGGTGTTGATGTTATCTTTCACGGGCAGTTGTCATGTTGTTTTACAGATCTAAGATGGAAACAGCTCGGGCATTTTGGAAAAATCATATTGATAACAGGACTGCTCATGCAGCCTGGGAGAAGGCCGGACTGCATGCCGCAGAGTGTAAAATCGCCATTGAAATTGTTCATCCCATTGTAAATACATTCTGAATTTTAGAAATATGACATGTGGGGTTAAATGTTTATTCAGACTGTGAGGTTGGGTTTATTCTCAGAGCAATTTAATGCGGAGAGCTTGTGCAGGACAGATGCTGCAGCAGCGCTTGATCCGCTCCAGACTAGAGAGAGAGAGAGAGAGAGGGGGCGAGAGAGAGAGAGAGAGAGAGAGAGAGAGAGAGAGAGAGGGCGAGAGAGAGAGAGGGAGTGAGAGAGAGAGAGGGGGCGTCATCCTTATAGGATCATTAAATCACTCTGTGTGTCTGACTGTGCACTCCGCTACTTATCAGCCTATGCGTCAGTCTGGCACTACATAGCAGATGACCCATTTCAATGTAAAAGTGGGGCACGAGGCCTCCCCCTCATTATAAGGGCCACCAGGTTGGTTGGTGGTCGTGCTCAGGCCCAAAAATCTGCTGACACATGCACTCTGCCGGCCGGGGCTCCCAGCCTTTGTGCGCAATGAAGCCTATAGCCCATCTATTATGGCCTCATGGGGCAACAGACTCCTATAGGCCGTCTGTTTTAGGGCTTCACACTATTTAAAGATTAATCATTTTAACATGATGTATAAATGGAATTATTATCATGTTCCAGTTTAAAAATAAGCATGGTTAGGGTGACATTGTTGATTGCTGATCTCCCGGAAGATGACACCACTCTTACTCAGTGGATTGAGCTCTATCTACTAAATGCTGCTTAAAAGCTTAGACCTTACAGGCCTCTATTCTCACACCTGTCTCTTTAATTTTAGGTCATCGGCCACAGCCATGGAGATTGTCACACATTTAATTAATGACACCATAGAGTTCTACAAATGGACCCTAACTATTGCAGGTAATAATCTTGTATTTCTCTCATGTCTGAGAGTCAGTGCAAGAGAGTTTAGATAAATAGTGTCAGTATATACACATCTTCTTGTGTGTCCACTTATATGCACTATGTATACATCTACAGGTACATGTTTCCTGCTGTGAGTAAGACGTCTACTTTAATTAATAACTGTAACTTTATCCACCAGCTAAATCGAATGTTGTGAGGATGGATACAGTATCTTTCTCCTCATAAATTCACACACACACGTATGTGACATTCTGAACGTATCACATGCATCATTAAACAATGGTGTCTACACCAAACTGACCTCCAGACAGGTCACCTCGGGACAAATCTGTTCTCAGGACCTATTTGACCTGTTCTCTCCTTTAAATAAACTGACATTGAAGCCGCACTGTGTCAGTGTAATGCCAACATCAACAATAGTTGTGTAATGCTTTGAGAACATCTGTCCTGTCTCAGACAAGCGAGTGGAGAAATGGCCTCTGATGGACAACCCCCTGCCCACGCTGGCCATCAGCACCTCCTACCTGCTGTTCCTCTGGCTGGGGCCCAAATACATGAAGAACCGAGAGCCCTTCCAGCTCCGCAAAACCCTCATCGTCTACAACTTCAGTATGGTCTTCCTCAACTTCTTCATCTTCAAAGAGGTAGGCTACTATTAGAGACTAACTAGGTATTCTTCTACTCACCTGCATGTGTGAAAACACTGCAGGGACAAAGTTGAATCCTTGGATCTTATCCCAAACCATAACCATCCATCCCGATGAGTACACTACATTAGCACTTTAGCCCTGTGGGTTCAGACTAACCTTACTGCGTATCCATCTTTCTGCCTGCACTCTATCTCTCTTCCTCTCGCTGTCATTCTCACTGTGTTCCTCTGCCTCTGTTCACTTATATCAGTGATTCAATAGATATGTTCTCTTGTTTTTTAGCTTTTTATGGCAGCGCGGGCGGCAAGCTACAGTTACATTTGTCAACCAGTGGACTATTCAGATGACCCCAATGAAGTCAGGGTGAGTGTTACAGGACACATGCACGTGCACACACACACACACACACACACACACACACACACTTATTTAATGAAAATTGAACATTAACCACACTGGATTGAACCTCATCTGCCCTATAATGTAACTTACTTTCATATGGTTTATGTGTTTGCTGTAACTAGTCTCCAGAAGCAACAAGACACCTCTGCTAATTTCCCACAATGTAACATGTTTCACAGATAAGTCTGTCTACATTATAGTGCTCTACTGTACATATATGATGAAGAATACCTTTGCCAGTGTGTCGGGCAAGCTTCAGTGGTTTTAGAAACATGATCATCTTCCATTCATTTGGCCCCTTGCTGTTATTAGAAAAAGTGCGAGCTGGAAGATGGGATCGCGGAAGGTGTTAAGTTTCACCTTCCTTCCTGCTGCTCCATGACGTAGTTACACATGTAATACAGTCAAGTCAGTCTCAGGTGGCTCTAAGGTTAAGATGTTGTCGAATAGGCTAGAAAAGTATAGAACATATTTCCAAAGAAGTCCTAAAGAACTACTCCTCTGTTTCTCCAAGTGTCTGTATTTCCCTATTTGTTTCTATTTCCTTCTTCCACTTGTGCCTGTCTTCTCCCTTCAACCCATGTCTCATGTTCATGTCTGAGACAGGTAGCAGGAGCTCTGTGGTGGTATTTCGTCTCTAAAGGCATCGAGTATCTGGATACGGTGTTTTTCATCCTGAGGAAAAAATTCAACCAGGTTACTTTCCTGCACGTCTACCACCACTGCACCATGTTCACACTCTGGTGGATCGGCATCAAATGGGTGGCAGGAGGACAGTGTGAGTAGCTCATCCTACAAGCACAAGCCCAGCGGCCCACAGGGGTGAAGGGGCCCTGAGGCCATGCAGGGCTTCAATTTAAAACATTTTTTGTTGGAGAGCCAAAGAGCTCAGGGAGAAGGATTTCTTGGTCATGTGTTTTTTTTTTGCTCCTGAGTCCTTTCATATTTTTGGTTGGCAGGAAGGAGGAGGAGCTTTTTACATGTCTATGCCTAGGGCCTCTTTGTATTATAATCTGCCCATGCCAACAGTATGAAAAACATTTTGTAGAGACATGTATACACAATCCATCTCAGTGGACAATTGGCCGTATTATTTCTGGTTAATCTTTATGTGAAAAAATTTCATTATTGTCATTAAATGGAAAAAGTAAAGGGTTTCTAGAAACCAAACTTGTGTAACCAAACTGCATTATATCACCATTAGCATGGCAAAATTAATGTTTCATTTTCTTTGCATTTGCAGCATTCTTTGGTGCACACATGAACGCAGCCATCCACGTCTTGATGTACCTGTATTATGGCCTGGCCTCCTGCGGACCTAAGATCCAGAAGTACCTGTGGTGGAAGAAGTACTTGACTATCATCCAGATGGTAAGATATTAACGTCAGCGTGTGGCTAATTTCAGTATAAATGTATTCCTTTAATACATTTTACAAGATTAATCTTTCCTCAGGTCTTACACTGGATGTCAGCATTATTTCAAAAACATGTGAAACAATTATGCATTGCACAAACGTTATATTGTTTCTCTCTTTGTGTCTCAGATCCAGTTCCACGTCACCATTGGCCACACCGCCCTGTCCCTCTACGTCAATTGCGACTTCCCCCACTGGATGCACTACTCCCTCATCTGCTACGCCATCACCTTCATCATCCTCTTCGGCAACTTCTACTACCAGACCTACCGCCGCCAGCAGCCCAGACGCGACGCCTCCTCCTCCTCCTCCAAAGCAGGCAAGGCCCTCTCTAACGGGACCCTCAACGGGCTCAGCAAGGCTGCCAACGGAGCACTGGTGACAGGGAGCAAAGAGGAGAAGCCCCAGGAGAACTCTGGCAGGAGAAAGAGGAAAGGAAGAGCTAAAAGAGATTAGAGGAAGAGGAGCAAGAGAGGTAGAGGTGAGATAGGGCCTTGCTTCAGGTTCTAGGTTGATAGTGCTAAAACACGAAAGACTAAATTTTAGGAAGATTTAGATGGATGGATGCTTTAAGGTGTGATGTGTTTATTTAAGCCATGATCTGAGTTGTTGTAGATAAAATATGAGACAGGCTTGTGTTGAGAGAAGATCATTTTGTTAGTAAGAGGTGTCAAAGGTCTTGCCTAAGGTGACCGTTACCACAAATAACCCAAAATACAGTAGTGTATGGTACGGGATAGATCATAGTATTCCTTCTCTTTATTGTGGTGCCAAGTACTGTAGATCTGGTTCAAAAAGTGACTTTCAGCTACTAAAAACTGAGCCTGAAAAGGAAATAGAGTTTATCAGGCCCGTTTAGCATGCTGGGAAAGCTACATTAAATGCGCCTGAGCTGCTTGAAAAAGATAATATAACATTGTTATTAGCGATCACTGCTGTATCGAGACAGGAATACACATTACGACACACGCACAAACATGTCAATTTATATTTGAGCTTATTATGTTTTGTTCACCTTTACAGATATAAAACTGATAATGTACAGTATCATGTCATTTTTGTCCTCATCATATTCAAGTTATTATTGATGTTACTGAGAAAGACTTATGTTTACAGTTCTTGTCTTTTTGAATAGACACCTCTGCAGTTATCCACTTATTTGTGAACATGGGGTTGTCTTATTTATTCTTATTTATGTCAAGTTGTGGACACGGCTGCCACTCACTTTTGAGCTTTCACCCATTAGTGCACAGTTACATTCTAAAGAAGGAAAATAAATTGATATCCAGAGGTGAGATGTACATAGAAATAGAAATATATTTCTAACCCTTTGAGACTTGGATGGGATTGTTCCATCACTGGTTTGTGATGGAATAATCAACAACTGTAGCTCATAGAAGGTTAAAATTGATTTTCTTTATTTCTGTATACAACCATAAGAGGTTTTATATGTCCCGACTTATATGTAATGCGTTGAAATGTAATGAATATTATCCAGAGAAATGATGGATCTGATGATTATCTCAGTGTTCCCCATTCTGACAGAGAAGCTGGTGGAGTTTTGTCTTTGCAGATGTTTACCTGTCTTTTTATATTATATCCTCTCTGATGTTGTTGTTTGTCTTACATGCTGGTGAAAATGTTGTGTGCCGAACAAAGAAGCGGTGGTGTTCTGGGTTCCCTTTGTTTTAAGGGGAATTCAGAACCAGCTAACAGCCAGTTTTTATCAACTTAACTAAGCCTACCTTAAGCGCCATTTTCTTTCCCATATTCAATCAAATATCTTTTTGTGTCTAAGTTTTCAGGCTTAGTCCGTGTCCTGAGCTGGCTTGAATGTAAATTTATCAGGGGAAATATTTGGATCTAAAAAGATAAAGGTTATGATTTATATACAAAAAGAGCTGGTGAACCTCTATAGTGACTGTGTATGTTATACCACTATGAAGAATAACTTCATTCAGCTCTGCCTGTAGTATATAGAGTATAAATCAGCCGTCTGCTCTATATCAGCAGCTTTATGTCATCCATCAACCAATGCATTTTTGATGTTATTTATTTACTTTCTATTTATTTTTCTGTAAATACCAATTTTCATCTAGCTGAGAGTGGTTGTCTGTGTATTTGTGTTCTTTTTGTGTTGTACATATTACATTGTGAGATTTTGTACACTGCGCATTGGGAATGTTCCCAGCTTGTTAGCTTGGACAGTTATACGTCCACATTGCTTCTGTGTGTGTTTTTTTTTTTAGTATCATAACTTTGAACTCTCTTTAAATTGAATTAAACTGAATGCCTCTACAAATGTTGGCTTTCTTTTCTATTTCATCAAACTGTCTATTTCTATAACTGAGTAAATGTCATGGGTCTTCAATTATCGGACATTCTATGTGGATCGAGACTGTGTTTTCACATTAATGACTGGGGAGGTTTTTGTGAAAAGTTGGTAATAGATGTACAGAATAGGTTTCCAACACTAGAGGGCACCATGATTACATTACAGTAAATTACAACCACAGCTTCTGTACAGTATACTCATTATGTCCCTCATCCACTGTAAGTATGGAGTTTTGTGATACGAGGAAAATAACATAATCAGTCAAAATGTTTAATGGACATCTGTGAATTACAAACTTCAATTCCTGGTTATCAGTTTGGTGTTGTCTTGGTGTATTATCAAAACTCATTTCACTTGGCAGCCCCATGTACGAGGTAGCCTTCATACACTGTTTCTGTGTTGTCTGTATAATCGGTGTTGGAAAGTGACAAGAGTACATTGCTCAAGTGCTTTATATCTCAGTACATGTTTAAGGTACTTACACTTTACTCAAGTATTTCCTTTCTGCTACTTTATACTTCTCTACCACCACATTTGAGATACAAAATGTTGTATGTTTTACTCTGCAGCATTTATCTGACAGCTTTCTGCTTTTTTAAAAGTTAAAATTTATGGTTTTAACATATTATATGATGTAGTGTCATTAAACTACAACATTAAAACCCTGTTTGCATGTTAATGCATCATTGATTATAACCAAAAAGCATGGAATATTTTCACACTTTGAAAAGAGCCATTCAGCCTAAGTAGTACTTTTGATACTGTACTTTAAGCTAAGAATACTTTAACACTTTTACTTGTGAGTGCAGCAATGTAAGAATCTTTTCTACTGCTGTTGAAACCGAAATAGAGTTTAATTTGTAAAATAGTTGTCACTGGCTTTTTTCAACTGTTTAATAACGCAATGAAAAAAATACTTGAGGGCAAATTATGTTGTATTATTGCAGTGCAGCTTCACCTTTTCTATTTTCCATTATTTATTTATTTATTTATGTTTCTAATCCATATTTATAGCACACAAGCTTCAAAATCTGCTGCAGCAGAACTATGGTTCCAGTTTAGGGTGGGGTCATGTCTGTCTGTTGCTTGTCTGGAATGATGTACTTGAAAAAAATGTGCCAACGGCAAATCTCTGGCAACATGTTTGGTAGACAAAAAGAAAAGACATCTTAAAATTGAATTTATAACACTGCTCATTCCTGTCGAATTCTCAAGTTAGACAAAGGTTTCCATGGTAACTGTACACAGCAGCTGTCTGACACCCCCTACCCCTTCATCCTCCCAAAGACCTCCCACCCCCACCAACTGCATTCCCCTCCTCCTCCTTCTTTTTGAATCAGCTGGGTGTATGTGGGAAACAGCACCGGTGCAATAAACTATTAAACAGTGTTTTAGTGTGTGTGGGTGGGTGGATTAGTGAGCGGAGGTTTGTGTGTGTGTGTGCTTGTGTAATAGGTAGAGAGGATTGAGAAACACATTTGTGTGTGTGTGTGTGTGTGTGTGTGTGTGTGGCAACCCCCCCCCTGCAGAGTTTATGAGTGGGAGGCCTCCACCAGCAGAGGGGTATTACAAGGATGATGTTTGTGTTATTCTTCAACCCAGAGCAATAATTTCACAACTCCGTAACAGAAAACCATAACCTCATCAACAGCCTTTCCCTTGGATGGTGGCCCCATATCCTTCCAACTGTGTCAGCCCCTTCCTCCAGTCTCTTCTGGTAGACAAAAATACGATTTAGCATTGGGTTTTTAAATAGTAAGCCATTATACATCTTTTATAATGAACACAATGGCAGATTTGGCTTGCTTAGCAGCCTTAGCCTTAGCGTAAGTACTGTACAGTGTGCCAGTTCATGTGTTATGTGTTGGTTTTATGTCTCATTAGTGTAATCTCATTAATGTGTGGCTTTTCAATTTCACGAGAGTCAATCTAATGCTTCTATTCAAATGTTGGTCTTGAATTTAAAAAAAATGAGCTCACTCTTTTCTCTATTTCCACACACCACATAAATAGAACAAAGGTACTAAATATAAAGCCACAGCTAGACATACAGAACGTGTATACGTCCATATGTATGTGTTAGTGTAAGGCATACAGTACACTACAGACAGGGTTCAGATGACTACAGAAGCATTTACTGTATATATGTCAGTCTGAATGAATGTCTGTATCTGTGCAGATATGTCTCGTTCAGTAAAATCCCATGTGGATTTCACAGCAAAGTAACAATTTTCCTGCCTGTCAGAAGCTCAGTTGATATCTGGAGCACAACAACTGAGAGCAGAGACAGGTGAGGTGTAGTATGCCTCACAGGAAAAAAGCATTGCACCAAAAAAGCCTTCCACTGCTTACCTGTCAGAATAAGGGCTTAGAGACCTTTTCATCACCTCATCCACTGCTTGTCATTATTTTAAACATTATTATTAATGAAGCAATGGAAACTGTGTTGGACTCCTCTTATTGTTCCCTTCCTGCTGTTTGTTCCTTTGCAGAAAAAATGTATTGTTTACACTGGATTTTAAAGCAAAATCCAGCAATCTCTATGTAAAATTCAGTGTGGAGGCCTGTTGAGGCTGCCATCCTCTTTATCAAAGTCAATTGTGCTAATGTTTCAAACCTTATGTGGAACGAATCAGTTGATGAAAGAGTGTTATATGTAGCCGTTTCAAATAACACAGTTAAAGAAATATCAAACCCAGCATGGAAACTACAACATGACACAGCAGATCATCCCTGACTATGTATAAACAGTGACAAGTACACAGCCTGGAATTCCCGTCTACACACTGTGCTACTGTGATGATCCAGGGTAAGGTGTTTTGAATAATAGAGAAAGTGAGAATGAGAGACTGTGAAATTAATGGGGGAGATATTTTTATATGGCTGTTCATCAGGGCCTCTCTCTCTCTCTTTCTCACACACACACAGCTACTCCTGCACCAGTACACTGTGTGGGATGAAGGACGAGGGAGAGAAAGCATTACATCACATGTGTAAAGTGTAAAAATGTTTGTTCAGTGTTGTGCTGTTTTTGTATTGTTTGTTTGTGCTTGTGACAGTTTTTACAGGTTGCAGTGAGGCAAACGTCTGTCACAATTCAGTGGATGTCCTATAAAAAAATTTGCTTTGTAGGAAAAATGGACACCGACTGACATACTGCAGATCAAAAGTCCATAGATCAGTTTCAGGCCGATTGGCTCAGCGGTTTTGGAGGAGATGCTGAAAATAGGATTTTGAGCAGAAATTAAATTGAGCAAAGATGCAGAGGAATTGAGAGATTAAAATAATGAAATAATTTCTTTTGATTATTATAGTGCCACCTTCAGGTCAATGAGTGTTCATGCTGAAGCATTCACACTAATATGAACAGATCCAGCAACTTTGCTGCTTGGACCCCAGAAAAAAACAATAGTGACAACACTGGCAGCAAGTGTTGTTGAGTGAGCTGTCTCATTATCACTAGTGAAAATCTTAACAAGTCATTCAGTCTCATACCAGGTCTTTACTTAGTACTTATTTTCTTTTAATGGGATGAAATACAGCTGGTGGTGATGAAGGAATGAAGAGAATGCTGGAGATCTGGATGTGATGAGGAGTGCACTTCTCATGAGCTCACCCTGGACACTGCATATGATGAACTGGAGGTGAAAGGGGTGGAGGAAGGTCACAACCATTACGCACTGAAATGACAGCTGAAAACAGCAGAGAGGAGAACAGATTTAAAATCTGACAGCAGCAACGTGATTGGCTGGAGGAGGTTGTGACTAAATCTGATTGGATTAACTGAAAGAGTGAACGCCCATAGCAGATTAGAAAGGAGAGTGAGAATTGTGAATGAATGAGGCATAATGAGCTGAGCTTTATAAGAGATCCAGTGTGTACGGATTCAACATTTCCTATAGTATTCTCAGTGGATTAAAGGTCCAGTGTGTAACATTTAGAAGGATCTATTGACAGAAATGGAATATAATATGAATGTTTTCATTCGTGTGTAATCACCTGAAAATAAGTATTGTTGTGTTTTCACTACCACAGAATGAGTCATTTTTATCTACAGAGGGAGCCAGTTCTCTTGCACAGAGGCCTCCATGTTGAACCGCCATGTTTCTAGAGTAGCTCAGAACGGAACACTGGCTCCATAATTCACATTCTCCTTCAGCTTGGAAGGCTGAGCTGTATTCAAATAGTAGCAATCTACAATTTCACTGCTAGATGTCGCTAAATACACACTGGTTCGTTCTCTGCCAAACATTACCGTCTTTTATTTTAGACAAAGCAGAATCAGTATTCTTGTCTGGCACATGGGAGCCTCTCTGATGCCGACATCTGTCACTTTAATAAAAGCAAATGATTAAATAGTCCTGGGGCAGAAGGAGAGGATAGGTGGGGGGAAGTGGTGAATGTGTGTGTGTGTGTGTGTGTGTGTCACTGTGAAAGGGAGTGCAAGACCCCAAACATCTGTTATCCTATTCAGAGAAAATGAATCCTCATTCTTGCCCAAAGCTGGCTGATTGGCCCTCCAACATCTTGTCCAGCAATTAAACTGTGATTACAATAGAGAGCAGTCTTGTTTTCTGAACGGATCAAAATATAGTGCTGTAAAAGCCTACAGTGACAGAAGCAAATGGATTGCACAGAGGTACAGTAGGAGGCTAAGAGATGGGTTACTGAAGCCTTGACAGAAGTTAAAATCCATGCCATAAAACTTTCAGAGTGAAGAGAATCCTGGCTTTCAATCCAAGTCGATCCCTGGCACGTCCTGCAAATGTATTTATTTTACTCACACAAGGATGACACATGCAACACCAGACCACCTCCTTCGTGGTGTGCATTTAAACAACCATGAACCATTTCTGATGTGTGTCTGAACTTTATCTTGTTGGCACAGGGCCAAGAATTACAATCTCCAAAGGATGGGTGAGATGGGTCTGACCCACCGCAAGGTAATTCAATCAAAGTGAAGATGC